GACATGCTATTGTACAATATGTTTACAGTAACACATTTCAAATTGTATTAACTCATCAAATCAACTTTAACATCTATACAGATAACTTAGATAGAGCAAGCTGCTATTTTTTTACAATTTACAGCAGTGCTTCAAATTTTAACCCTGTTTCCTAATTCTGGCATACTAGTGACGAAATCAGGATGTTTCTGTCGTTTGTGTGAGTGCAGTAAATGTTAGATGTTTTTATGATTGGTGTTTTTGGTAGTTGTTAGTATGTCTGTTTACAGTGGTTTTGGCGGACTGGTGCTTGGATGTGGCATTTTAAGGCCTAGTTAAAGGTCATTTAGGAGTTTGGAGGAGGACAGGGAGGACAGGGGAGTTTAAATTCTCTTTTAAGCATCCCTTCAGTTATCAAAACAAAAAGTACATTTGTATATCAACATAATTTGAATATACCACTCAATTTTTTAGGTTAGAATCACATTTGTTATTCCAGAAACAATTTATAAGATTTTAGAAATGGGAGAATAGAATAATAAAGAAATAAATAAAACTATTCAAATTTGAAAGTAGAAGGCTAAAATTTACACATTTTTATTGCAATCAAGATTAAACTCTCAGTGATATAATGTACATGTGAACTAAGGTATCAAGCTAAACATCATCTCACTTCAGTTACTGTCAGTTCTTGTAGAGCTGCTTCATCAGATGGAGTCACTGTGTCTGTCGAGCACAGTAATAAACAGCAGTGTCCTCTTCTCTCAGACTCTTGGCTTCAAGATATTGTGTACTTTGAGACACGTCCTCACTCAGCGTGAAGTGATTTTTCATGGAGTCTGCATAAGTAAGATAATCAGAGCTAGAACTACTGCCAGAGTTAACTCTCCCAATCCACTCCAGAGCTTTCCCTGGTTTCTGTCGTATCCAGTGCATGTAGCTGCTTGTCATTGTAAAACCAGATATTTTACAGGAGATCTTCACTGTTTCTCCAGGTCTCTTTATCACAGCAGGTGACTGATCCAACCGGATTTCATCACCACTGATACCTGTGGAATAAAAATAAATAAATTACATTGATGTAGAGCATCCATTAGTGTATTGAATGCGCTTGGCTAAAGGAAAATATCAAACTTACCTTGTTGAGTTGAAATCGCTACAATAATGAACAGCCAAATGCTTTTTGACCCCATTGTTTAAAAAACCTTGACTGCCTTGTAACTATAGATTTGTATTCTAAA